TGGTATTAAAGAAGTAGATCGTGAGTTCTAATCTTTTCAAACCCCTATTTATCTACCAAATGGAATATTTTCATGCTTTGTACTAGGCAAAAAATCAAACTAAGCGTGAGGGAGAGTGATAAAATATCATCTAATAGACACTTTATGTATGTCAATGAACATTGGTTGAGTCAAAGAGTTTAGATACCTGAGTCATAAAAAAAATAAATATGTGAATAGAAATTTGCGAATTTCTGCATAATGACTTTTCGAATTAGACACAATCGGTTAAAGTTATAGTTCTATTTACGAAAGCATAGTTTATTTTCCTATAATGCCCCTACCACAATTATAAATCTCATGTCAATACCAGAACTCCTAAATCGAAAAATCCTACCTCTTACTGTCCTAGCCTACCTTCTACCATCATGAGAGGACCCTATCTTGTAAGAGCGCCGGGATGCTGCGTTTTTGGTGGGTTAACAAGTGTGGCGGCCACGGCAAAATGACTTGATGGGTGCCGATGGCGGGAGAGGAGATTAGGGTTAAGGATTTTTGGGTGCCTTTTTGCACGAATGGTAGTTTAACGTTTGTTTTGAGTGATTTTTACATTTCACTTTTTGTTTTTTGAACTTTCAAACCTTTCACCCACACGCACTTGACTTTTCTTAATCTTTTGATCTTAAAGACTCGAAACTTTCACAATGAATAAATGTTGACACGTAAATCTAAATTTAAACAAATGCTTGATCTAAATATAATATTTTTTAATAGATTGATCTAAATATAGTATTGTTTTAATAGATTTAAATAATACTTTAGATTTTAATGGGAAGCCAAAAAGCTACTTTTGACAGTTCACAATAGGTGGCAATAAACAAATGCATGGTCCTTTCGCTCATGCAAATTTGTCCTAAAATACAAAATAATATGTGAGGAGAATCCTCGCTGTCATCACTATATCTATTTTGCCATATGTTTTGTTGCAAAAGGGTTTATTTGTAACTTCGTGTAGTAATTCACGATAAGAGCTCTCAAGTATATGGTTGGCTTTTATTCTAAAGATATATTCATTTGATAAAAGATATTAAAAAAGTGCAAGATATGTTGAAAGCAAGAAACATAAAAAGTGATTCGGAAATTACTTATAATAAAGAGAATTGCTAAACTTATTAAGACTGGTTTGTAACAACATTTTATTAAAATATGTGTTAGATTGTTATTAGTTATTGAATATGGTCCTTCCATTTAAAAGATCGGTTACAATTCGACACACGTTCAGCATTTCCTAGACCAGTTTTGAACGCATTGCTGTTTATTAAAGCCTGAATAATCTTGAATGTTGCCCATTGTCTGGCAGAAATTGGAAGTGGAGACAAATGGGCTGAGTAAGATCTGGGCAAATCCTCTGACCAAAAGAAAAAACATCTGTGCAAATCTTCATGACGGAGCATCCAAAATAGCACCAAAATAGCACTCATCACAATGTCTTTTCGAGTCATAAACTAAACAGTGATTCATCATAGCCAAGTCAACTCCATCGGACCACGCACTCCGGAGTCTGGACTCAACGTCAAGACTGGTGAAGAAGATACAAAGACCTGAGAGATTCAATCCCAACCTAACTGCAATATACGAGATATCATTTCTATGATGAACAAGGTCCACTCGAACCATTCTTTGGGAAAAGGGGAGGCAGAGGTTTTACACCATTTTATTTTTACTCAAAGACTCTTGCACGTGAATCCAATTAATCTATAAAATATAATGAAACAATTACTTCCAAAATGAACTTTATTAAAAAAAGAGACCATTTTTTTCTCATGATTTCTTCACGTAATTAATTCAGTGTTAGACGTATCAGTCATGTGATGTGTTTCTTAAAACAGTAAGCTTCCTCATTTCCACCCCACTTCATGATCTTTTTATTAGCTAAAAATAAAAAGACATGTTTCTAAAGCCCTTCTGCAGGTCTATTAATTGACTGACTAGCCACCATTTTAATATATGATAAATGTATGAGTGGGTGGTCAGTTTCGGCGGTCTATTGCGTTACCATAAGATTTCCACAACCTTGACGGAATGTTGGCCAACAAGCCACTTGACTAACCAAAGGTCGTGTAGATTACAATACCAGAAAAAACATCTTCCTTTGGGTTCTTGGCAAGTACATACAACTTTGTCAATTTAAAGTAGGTTTTTCTTTTTGGTATGAAAAAGTTTAGGAGGAGAGGAGATTACTCCATACCAAGGTCGAGGCATCCCACAGGCAACAGGATTCGAACTTAGGTATGGTGTGTGGAGTGTTCGAATCTTACCAACTGAGACCACCCACTTTGGCTTCACAAATAAAATGTTAGTTTTTATGTCTAGAAAAAATATTTTTTGATATATTTTGTGTGTAAAATTTAATGCGATCACAATTTAATGTTATTGTGATTCCGCCAGCCCAAATTTAGAGCTTTTTCTATATTGCGAAGAGGGTCAAGTCAAAATATGGAGAAAAATTCCAGTAAAATTCTAAATTGATGTTTGACAATTGCTTAGATTACAAGACAGACATGATGTACATCGATGTCTTGTATAATATAGCATAGAGACAAATCTGATGTTGAATTTAAGACGTCTAAATCGGTTAGTCAATAAATACACGCTTCTTCAGTGAAGTACAATTTACTTGGAAATGGTCAAACATTTTCGTTGTAAGCGCGAAACTTCGGCCTGCATGCATGCGTGCACAAGACATGTATAGCAAATATGTGTCTGCTGCAGTTAGACTATATTATTTATAATCTAAGTTATCCGAGAGAAATTAAAAGGAAAAAAAAGTAGAGAGAGAAAGATAATTGGAGAAAAAATTGAGGCCATAATTGCAATTTTCCCAACTTGTTTTGAGGATACCTTTTAATAGCAAAACCATTAATTGGATGGACTTTTACCGATTACCTTTAACTTAATCAAATCTTGCGGCAAACGCATTTTGATTTTCTTCTTTTCAACTCGAAATACGTAAATATTGACACTTAAATTATTATATAATTTTTCTGTTTTTTTTTCAAAATTCGGATGTCACATTAAATTTTATGGTTTGTATAAATTAAAATTCAGTAATGTTGACTCAAATGGCAGGAGATCTGAACTTCACAATATTCATGAATTGTTATTGTACAGGGAATGGTATTGTCTTACCCACATTGCTTAGTATTGGAATTTAATTTGCCTCGTAAAGTATTTCCTTTTAACCCTACTTTCACTCCATCACAAATTTTGTTTTCTTGTGGCTTTAGTGACCTTTTAGCAAAGCGTGGGAGTGTTTATATGTTGATTAATACTTCTGACTTTTACAATATGATCAGCTTTAGATGGATTTAAGGGGTTCACTAATTGCTCCATGATATTAGTTTTAATGAGTGTTATGACATGTATAAACCATGCAACTTTTGTTTGCTAACAAAGTTTAGAAGCATTGGCAGCATTTTAACCGATAAAAAAAAGTGACTTTATAGTTTATATCACGTAACCTTATCTTATTATTTATGAGTTATGCAATTGCAGTTTCACTTTTTATGTAAATCATTTCCTAATCGATGCGTATGTCGAAATAATGGCTCACAAATAAAATATGAAAAATTTAACGATATGTTAGTTTAATCACATACAGATGTCAAGAGGGTTTGGCTTTGGTTTTTCAATAATTTTTTCATCACGTTCGCACGATAGTACCATATATACATAATTGCTTTGATATGCGAGCTCACCTTTTGTTTTTCTTTATTCGATTTTTATTTAATGCAAAACAAATGAAATTATTCAAATAATGTAAACATCAATTTGCAAATTAATAGAATCTAGAATATCTTATAGATGGTCAAACCTTAGAATATATATTTTACAGTTTTAGAGGGAAATCATGGTTTGTTTTTTATGTAGCCAAAAGAGGATTTTCTAAATTTTGTTGCTAAGTTTCTTTTTAATTTTACTAGCATAAGAGAGTGCGAATAGACAATAGATGTAGCTGCAACTTTTTGATGAGACTTTCATTTCATTACGGAATGACCGTTCGAACTTAAGATTACAAAGAGATGTTCACTCGATATCGCTTACGTTCCATCAGTCATAGACATGAGTGAGCTTCAATATTGTCAAAGTCCCATCTAGACATTAGAAGTGATTATGGGGTCACAGTTCTTATATCTTTGATCTCCAAATTGTCCCCATTTGATGGATCGTTAAATTTGTGCCACAATTTCATTAGACACCTAGCCAACAAGAAAATCTCTCTCTCTCTCTCTCTCTCTCTCCCTCTTTGCATGGGAAGAGAGAGAGAGAGAGAGGACCTAAGGGAGAAGGAGGAAGCTCAATAGTGCCATCGCACTTAGTGTTTAGCTTTGAGATTGCCGGAGCATGTTGGGGGCGAGTGGTGCTAGCAGCGCGGGCCAACTAGAGTCAAGACAAGGAGCGACGAGTAGGGGAAGGGAAAGATAGAAGCTTAGTTTTTATCAAAAGACGCAGTGGAAACCCGATATCCTCATTTGAAAAGATTGATAATGAGTAATCAAATCGATTGACTCTATTGTTGCAACAGTTTTTTTTTCTAGTAATTGTTGGATTGCCACGTGGCTCAAATCTAATGGTGAATAGTGTAGTGACTGATAAGTGGAAATAGTACTTAACGACCTTTCTCCCACCCGCATAAAGCAAAGTAACAAAAGCCGGCCCAATGAGTTTGGAGTGTTAAGTAAAGTGCAACCTACGTCTAACATGACGACTCCCGTCAAAGAGCAAAGCAAAATACAACCCTTGGAAAATCTTACTGTATTCCTGTACGGAGATATAGGACAAGAAGTTTTTTTTCCAACACAAGCGCGTGGAAATTTGCCACCGAAACCCAGGTCTCTCTCCGTCATTTCACTACTAGTCCATCTCTCTCTTCTTCTCTCAATATTTCCACGAGAATTTGATCTCTTCGGTTATTTATATGTGTGATGATCTCAACTCGTTCTTCTTGTACATAACTACAGACGAGCAAAAAGATACAAAAGCCAAAAGCAAGTTGTTTTGAGAGAGAGAGAGAGAGAGAGAGAGAGAGAGAGAGAGAGAGAGAGAGATGGAGGATTTGCCACCAGGGTTTCGGTTCTTCCCCACCGAAGAAGAGTTGGTGTCGTTCTATTTACGAAACAAGCTCGACGGAACAAGACAGGCTCTACACGGGCTTATTCACCGGGTCATACCCGTTCTTGATATCTACGAGTTCAATCCATGGGACCTTCCACGTACGTCGCAATCCTTGCTGCTGCTGCACTCCTTCTCTTCTTCTTCTTCTTGATGATCATCTCTTGTTTTCATGTTGCAAAGCCTTTTCCAATTGAAAGATATGCCTGCAGAGATAGAAGATAAAGCATTGTGATTTCTAATTTAATTAATCTCGGAGCAATCATTCTCGATCCAGCTTTTTTTTTTTTCCATGCGGATGGACTAGGCATTTCTAAATGTATTTGCTGTTTGCCCAATTTCAACTTTGGTGAAAAAATGGTCTAAGATGCTTCTCTTTTAAGATTTCTTGCATTTCTACAAATCGTAAAATGGATTCTCCTTCGAAACGCAGTCTCGTGTTAAGTGCGAAAAGAAAAGAATCAACGAGAATTTGGAGAATTTCGGTCAGGAAGTTGTACCTGTTAGGCCCTAATTATTGATATATATATGCATGGTTTTCTTATAAACAAGTTTAATGCGATGGGCTTCAACTTTCTTGCAGCAAGCTTTTATTTTAGTATGTATCAGTTGGAGGAGTCATTCCACAATTCATGATCTATTTTCCCAACCAGTGTTCATATGCATCCACAATATGTATACAGTCTATAATTTCATGAACAATTTTAAACACATACCCATGTGTTAGAAATGTTTAAAATACAATTACAATTCCACCAAAGAAAGATTACAGATCTTTGATCTATACTTTTTATTCTATTTTGTAACGCAATTCTTTTGGATCCAGAATTTGCGGGAGATCTATGCCGTGGAGATCCGGAGCAGTGGTTCTTCTTCATCCCGAGGCAAGAGACCGAGTACCGCGGTGGGAGACCGAGGCGGCTCACGACCACCGGGTACTGGAAAGCTACAGGCTCTCCCGGTTTCGTCTACTTGAGCAATCGCATTGTGGGAGTGAAGAGAACTATGGTGTTCTATACAGGACGGGCTCCGAATGGCGTGAAAACCGAATGGAAGATGAATGAGTACAAGGCCACTGAAGGGGAGGCTACTTCTCCTCAAGAAATCCCAGTGGTGGTATGTGATGCCCTAATCCAATGTTAATCAAAAAAACTGTCTGATAATCTATGTCACACATAACATAGTTGAAAATGTTTTATGTGTAATCTTATTCTGGACATTGTTATGCTGGAGTGGAGGTGCAACTGCAATTGCATTAACAGTAATCAAGACAAAAAGATCGCAGTAACATAAGTGCAAGTGCTTGCACCAGCCTGAAGATACTCTCGTTCGTCTTTATCTTTACATGTTCTATCTTGTGTGGGAAGCAAAAGTAATAGTTTAATTTATCGCATTGAGTTTCCAATCTAAGAAGTCTCCTTTATTGGCAAATAGATCTACACCAATTCTTGAACCCATAGAAACAAAATGCAATAGAACCACAGCAGAATGGATTGACATCTCTTTCGATTTCTTCTTGTTGTCGGACCACGCACGAGTCGAACAACGACACATGACTAATGTCTCTCGTTTGTGTCAATAATTGCAGCCGAGGCAAGATTTCAGTGTGTGCCGGGTGTACAAGAAAACGAAGACCTTGAGGTCATTCGACCGGAGACCGATGGGAGAAATCATTAGAAGCAGCCACATAGTTCAACAGAACGCCATGCCAGATGACCATCCACATCCTCAGGAAATGACATCATCTCGTCTGGAGAGAGCAAGCTCGTCACCAGACAGTTCATGTGCCTCTGGAGACCATGGGACAATTCCGTCGCAGGCAGGAGGATTAGGAAGCGGTACTGACACGGAGATGCTGCCCGGTGAGAGCGAATTGTTCTTGCAGGACTGGGAACAGTTCTGGCCCTAAAGAAGAAGGTTAATACAATATGTATAAACAAACAATAATAGATTCACCTTGTCACTATTAAAATTGTGTAACTCTTAATTACCTCGGTGATGCTAAGCAGGTGTGTAGTTCTTTCGAATTTTAATGTCTGTTCAATGTGCTCTTGTCTCCTAAATTCGACCATGGATGTAGAACTGATGTAGAGTGTCTAGTCGATGTTTTTTCGAGCACTGTATTCATTTCCGTGATTATTCCCATGCGAAATTCTCATGAATCAAACGGGTCTGTGCGTGCGCGCTTGTTATGTGAAAGAATTGGTCCACGAGATATATTGCATATGTGTGATAAACCCTAGAGCTCCCGAATGATTACCTGGGAATTTGATTTGCTTCTAATCTTTTTCTTTTTTCGATAAAATTATCTCAGACGCGTTCCAGTAGCCAGATACAACAACTTTGCGATCTTGGTTTTGGCACGTATAATTAAGTATTCGCGTTTATTATAGAGAAGACCTATATATTGGGTAAAAATCAACATAACCGTCTTGTGCATCAGGCTTTATTAATTTTGGAAAATGTATTGCCTTGAGATCATGTCTAGCAGCTCTTTTTGATGGGGTCTCGATGATGTCTTATCTAGGAACAATAAAGAGTTTTATACAAAATTGATCTACAGAGAAAAATTTTAAATTCTTGTTGGGTATGTAAATATCATTTGCTCAAATAGCTGGTTGTTCTGACCAAAAAAAGAAAAGAAAAAAACAAGAAAAGCTGCTTGCAATTTGCCGTGCTATTATCAATTTCAGAATCCTTAGCATTATTCGTGCATGAAAACGGTGATAGAGTTAATGATTATAACTAAAGCTACCATGCTAAACTTGATCAAAGCTTGCTAACTAATAATCACGGTTGCGACTTGCGGAGTTCTTGGACACAATAGGGTAACAATTTCGTGTAAGGTTCTCCATAGCTATGAAGTATGTACCACCTTCATGCAGAGAAAATATAGTGTCGGACGCTCAAATTCAACCATGAAGTCCTTTCATGGAAAGATTTGATGTTTGACAAAACTGAAAGTTCTTGGAGTCCTAGGCCTATTTTTTCCAAGTCAACATTTCATTGCATCTACCGTTACCTACTTTTGCGGAAACGACTTGAGGTGTTCATACTTGCTTTATAAAATCTTTCAGAATCTTTTCAGACTTGCAACATATTCTGAGCTACAAATGAATCGAGCAAAACATACTTTAGAAAGCATGCTTGTTGCAACCTTTTTTTGAGGTAAATCACAGAGGGAAAACCGATGGATTGCTCGGCGGTTGTTGACACCTAAATTTTGGCGACTCCATTTAGCCATTTACTACATAAGAAAATTAGGAATTGACCCGAACCTAAATTTGGATTTGTATATTATCACCATTTTAATAGCAATAGACCCACATTAATTACATTTTAATTAACCTGAATAGGTTGAAGCAGGGAGGCGCTGAGCTTAATTAAATTTTTAGAGTTGAGCTCACAAGAGCATGAAATTCGGCCAAGCCCATTAAAGACCTACAGTGGCCGAAATTTACACGTGCCTAGCACATGGGGAGTCTTAAACTAGGAAAGATTGCATTCTTTGATTAGATTTTGAAGCAATAAGGTCATTATCTTCGAAATTTTTTGTTATGGTGAGATAAGGAAGAAAAATACCCTAATTTCCTTAAAATTACATATTCTGAAATAGGATGTCTCTTGTTCTTGTAAGAGAACCCAAGGCTTGTGCCTATAAAAGGGTTCTTTTCTTTCAAAAAAGAAGAGGTTGGCAGTAGAGAGCGGCTTTATACAAAATAATAGAGGGCACAATACACGTAAGAGAACAAAAGGTTTCCCCCCCCGCCTATCTTGGTTTGCGCTCATAATCTAGCTTCGACGTCCTCGCTGCCGTGCCCCGCCGCTCCACTGCGCGGTCCATCATGCCCAACCCACTTGCAGCTGTCGCGACGCTGCTGAAACCTCATCGTGTAATAGCATGCTCGCTGCCCCGGGGTCCTTGACGTCGTGAAGTCTTGCATCGTCGGTCGATCCCGTTGGCCCATGCTCGATAGTCAGCAGCGTTGGTGGACACTGGTATGGACAATTTTTACATTTTTTTAATTCTTTTGTTAAAAGAAAGAAAAAATAAAGAAATGGTAAAAAGAAAAAAAAATAGAATATTTTTTTAAAAATTTCGAAAATTGTCCATATACGTGATTTCTAGCCATAATTGACCGAAAGTACTATATTGTCAAATCGTTATAAGATTTAAGACTGAATTGGCTAAATTGAAAAGTTTAGCATTAAATTGATATCCATACGATGAGTTTCGGGACTATTTTGATAATTATCTCTCACGTTGCTCGTTCATACATCTATGACTCTGTATGTGCACTCGAATGTTGCAAGGTTGACCCAACTTTCACGACCATAATGAGTGCCTCAGACTTGCGGGCTCGACCAGAGGGAGGGAGTTTGTACGTGCGATGGCGGTTCCAAGGGTCGTGGGGCTAGAGTTTGTAATCGATGTGCTCGTTCATACATCTAGCGAGGGGCTAGAAGATTACTTGCTGCCTTAAAGGTTTGCTCTGATGTGCGACCAAACTGGCAAACTGATATCACGTCGCTCTTGTTAGACAGCAAGGCTACAGCTCAGCAGAGATTTCCTCCATGATTATTTTCCTGTATTAGAGATATAGATATATTTAGGAGATTTTGTCTTGATTTTGATTTGCTGTAATTGATATTTGTTATTTGTTACTTTAGATAGTTAACCTTTAAAGTCTATAAATAGGCACATGTATCTTTCATTAGCGATGTACAAAATATTATTAAAACACAATATATGGCTGCCTTTAGCCGCAACTCTTGTTGCCTTGAGATATTAATTTCTTGAGGTTTTACATGGTATCAGAGCTATCAATTGCGAAAGCATCATAGCCATGAGTTCCGATCTAAATTCCTCAATGGAATCGAGTCCCGTGACATCCGCTGCTGTTAGCATCTCAATGCCATCCAGTTCAACAATCTTGTCTCTCACCAGCCCCGTCATTCCGTCATCTGGAAATTTCATGGGATCATCTGGTTGTCCAAATCTTGGGGTGAAATTCACCGGGGACAACTACGTGGTGTGGAAAGCTCGAATCCTCCCCTTCCTTCGAGCAAATAAACTGATTTCGATCGTCGATGGAACGCTGCCATGTCCTCCACAACAAATTACTCAAACCAATACAGATGGTTCTTCCAATATTGTGCCCAATCCTGAATACGATAACTGGTATACACGCGACCAGATTGCTCTCGGGTGGATCTTAAGCACGACAGCCGATTCAATTGTGGGTCAGTTATCTAATCTGAGCACCTCTCATGCTGTGTGGAATTTCTTCTCTGCATCTTTCGCTGCCTAAAATAGTGCGCGAGCTACCCAATTGCGGCTGCAACTTCAGACGATGCGAAAAGGTAATCAAACAGTGACCGAATTTCTTCAACATGCTACTTTTATATCTGATCAATTGGCCTCCATTGGTGAGATCATCTCACCACAAGAGTACCGAACGCATATCTTCCGAGGCCTAGGAGCCGAGTTCCAAAGCTTGGTCAGTTGCAATTTCGGTTCACACTCAAGATCAACAAATGACCAGGGAGTCTTTTCATGGCCTTCTCTTGGCTCATGAAGCACTGTTGGAGCTCCAGGAACCACAAACCACCCAACCAGCTGCCTTCGTTGCGCACAACACTAGCTTGGGCCAAAATTCTCATTCACAGCGTGGCCCTATTTCCAATTTCAATAGCCCCAACTCAAATACGGGGCAACAGAGGAATCTTAATCCTCATGGACAGCAGCCCAGCTTCAATAATCCGGGCAACTCTCAATACCGAAATTTCAATGGCAACAAAAATCAAAGACGTAGCAATGTGAGATGCCAGATTTGCAACCGCCCGGGACATAAGGCCATTGCTTGTCGCAATCGGTTCAACCAACAATTTGGGTTCTCTGGAGGCCACACGCACCAGCAGCAGTCACTTCCACCACAAGTTCAATTGGCTGAGATATCTCCTCCACCATCGGTGCTTTCTCCCGATGCCTGGTATCCCAACTCGGGTGCCACACATCATATTACCAACAATCCTCATCAGCTGTCCTCAGTTCAGCCATATCATGGCACTCAGCAGGTCACCATAGGTAATGGGTCAAATCTTCCCATCACTCACATAGGTACCCTTATTACCCGTGATTTCCGCATGTCTAATATCCTGGTCGTTCCGTCTATCACTAAGAACTTAATTTCTGTTCGTCAATTCTCTGCTGAAAATTCATGTGACTTTATTTTCTCACCGAACTGTTTCTTTGTGAAGTGCCGTCGTACGGGCAAGATCCTTCTCCGGGGGGACATTAATCAAGGCCTTTACGCACTCTCATCATTGTCACCTACGTCTCCAACCTGCTTCGTTTCTCAAGTGGAGTCACTCACCCATTGGCATCGTCGTCTTGGTCATGCCGCATTTCCTACTATTTCAAGAATCTTCAATAAGTCGTTAAGTCCTGTTCCAGTTTGTTCAGCTTGTCTTTCCAGCAAGAGTCATAAACAGTCTCATCCACCGACCACTAATAGGTCCAAGGCTCCCCTAGAACTAGTTCACTTTGATGTCTGGGGGCCTGCTCCTGTCACGTCGTCCCAAAATAATAAATACTATGTTTGCTTTACGGATGATTACTCTAAATTTTCTTGGTTTTATCTTTTTCATTCTCGCGACCAATTCTTATCCATTGTCACTGTTTTCCTCACCTTCGTTGAAAATCAACTTAACACTAAGGTCAAAGCTTTTCAATCTGACCGTGCGGGAGAGTTCATCTCTGCACCGTTTGTTCATTTATTGCAAGCGAAAGGTATTTTTCACAGGACCTCCTGTCCACACCTACCCCTTCAGAATGGCTTAGCCGAGCGCAAACATCGCCACATAGTTGAAATGGGACTCGCGATGCTCTATCGTGCTTCTGTCCCCTATCATTATTGAGACTTTGCCTTTGAAGCAACTGTACACATTATCAATCGGCTACCCACACCGGTTCTGCAGAATAAATCACCATGGGAGATTTTATTTCAAATGGTTCCAGCTATTGCTCATCTAAGAGTTTTTGGCTGCACAGTGTATCCCAATCTTCGACCCTATGCGAAGAATAAACTGCAACCAAGGTCACATCGGTGCATTTTCTTGGGCTACCCATCAGGATACAAAGGATACCGGTGTTATTCCCCTCAGCATCGACGGTTCTACATTGTTGCTGATGCCGTGTT